TTACCCTTTTTTTGTGCCCATGTGTAGTGTAGAAAGAGAGAAAACATTTGTCTATCTTCTCATTCCTCTCATAAAGGCACAGATACCACCATGAGGAGCTCACCCTCATGACCACATCCAAACCTAATTTCCCCTCAAAAGTCCTACCTCTAAATAACATCTCATTTGGATTCACTATATGAATGGCAGGAGGAGGGGAATACAATCATGTAGTCCAAACAAGTTAGTTCAAATCAAAGCCTCTGGCATTCTCAATTCCAAGCTACTTCTACATTTTTAGGAGATTTTTACAGAAACACCCAATTCCTTATATCAAATGTATATTAATTTCATTTTGCTATTATAATAAATCAACAAATAGTGTAGTATACTTAACAAAAATTTATTGTTTTATAGTCCTGAAAGTTAAAAGTCAGAAATAAAGTATCAAAAATGTGTTCCTTCTGGGATTGCTTAAGGAAAAAAGACATTTCTTTGCCTTTTCCAACTTTTAGAGGCCAACTCTTTCTTCATTTGTGGCTTCATTTCATCTTCAAACTGCAAATACCTCCATGGACATATCCATGTATGACTCCCTGAAGAAGAACCATAGAAGACCACTGGAAAAAAAAAATGTAGTTATCTTTCAACCACTCTTCCACAAAGGAGTGTATATTTTGAAGGAAATAATTAGAACTGCCTGGGACTAATGAATATTGCCTGTGAACCAGCACTACTTCTAGGAGATCCAAAATATCACTGTGAGGCCTGCCTGGTGGGCCAGGGGTTAAGTCTCAGTGCTGTCACCATTATGGCCTGCATTCAATCCCTGGCCAGGGAGCTCACCCTCATGGCGCAGCAGACCGTTCCTGGTCTCACCCGCTGCTCCCCTCAGCAGTGTATTTGAGTAAAATCTGCTTGTTCCGCTCCCCACTCTGTCTCTGGTGAACCTTCTCAGCCCCCCTGCACCTCTGGCCTACACCCCCGTTCTTCTGTGTACAAATAAATAAATAAATAAATAAATAAATCTTTTTAAAAAATCACTGTCAAAGTAGGGTGAGGTGAGGTGATCAATGGAGTTTTAACACAGGTCCCCCTCAAAGTATGTCCATTGGCTCCCTAAAAGTAGCTTGTGGTTATATTTTGATTCCCAGAAAGCATAATTAAAGATATTCAAAGCACCTGTCAGAATCTACACATTTGTCTACCTGACCTGTGAGAGGGTGGGTGGGATGGGCCAAGTGGAAGGCACTAGAATTGCTTCTGTTTAGGTAAAGGGTAAACAAAAATGTAATACCCCATTCCTGCAGGGATTATAGAGAATACTACTGCTACCATCAAGGACATGAAGAATATAAACAGGATGAGTCCCACAACATACTTACTTAGTCTATGCAGAACAAAGATGGATCTTGGAGAAAAATAGTGAAAGATCATAAGCATACACAGATGGTGATACCAGTTGCAGCTGCTATACCAGATGTGGTTTTAATATTTGAACAAATTAATACATCCCTTGAGCATGCAATTATTGAGATGACAAATTATTTTTCTCCATAACTATTAGTAAAGGCCACAAGAAGCAGTTTGCTTTCAGCTGGCAAGAAAAGCAATATACATGATCATACCTGAAAGCATATCAACTCTTCAGCCTTATTTCATAATTATATTCACAGTGATTTTTTCATCTGTTCCTTCCACAAGACATAACATGATCCATTACATTGATTATATTGTAAATTGAAGTGCTTTCTTGATTTCCTTTTTTTTCTTATTCATTGTTTCTCTATGGAAACCCAAGCAATTTTAGTATATTGATTTTGTAGCTTGCCAATTTATTATTCTTTCAATTTTTAGTGGAAGTCTTTAGGATTTTCTATGAATTTTGTCATGTCAGAATCTGGCAAGCTATGAAAGAGGTTTCAACACTCACTTGAAACTGAGCTCTCAAGTGTCCAGTGGCATATTCTGTCTACCCACTTAGCTAGTCTACCACCTTTTAAATAAATATTGGATTTTATTTAAAATCTGGACCAACAACTGAACTGTTCATCTTTGAATTTATTAGAAATAGATGTCATAAGTGATTTTTGTTGTTACATATCTCAGCGGTAAATAGGGGGTGGTGCAGGTATAAATATTGAGTCAGCCTTGTGTAGAAAGGGCACAGAGAGACAGTTACTCTAGTGGACATCCAGGGGGAATTCCTTGTTTACATGCAAGATCTGCTGTAACCCCTTCTTTGGTTGACTCAGATCTCTGTTTTGACAACCTCTTGACTGTTGATACCCTGTAAGGCACTATTTAATATCATAAAGCTGGCATCCTTTCTGCTAGCCTGTGACTATGTGGGTGCCTGTATTTCTTTTTTTTCCTTTCCTTAATAAACCTGTCATTTTAAAATGTAAAAAAAAAAAAAAAGAGTCTCAAAATGTGAGAGGAAGAGTGTAATATGAGCCCTGTCCCTGTTGTTTTTTGTCCTTGCTGAGTTTCTGGTTCTTGTGGAGAAACTCAGATGCTCCACTTTTGGTTTCATCTGGGCCAAGGGTGTGTGCTGCCACACTGTCTCTATTCTCCCTTTCTTGGGACCTTGGTTGTGTTGGCAGTCTTGTTGTCTCTGACACCCCATGAGTCCCTTTATACACAACACAAACACTTGGATGATGCCACTGTAACTTTCGGTGTTATCTGTTGGTCTGAGATCCAGAGGTCCCTCAGTTTCACCCCTATGCTGTGGGATTCTCTCAGTGGTGTCCCATTACCGAATATTTGTTAGTTGTCCCTATTATTAGCAAAGCAAGGAGGGTCCTCTTTCACCATCTTGGCAACTTCTCAATAAATATACTTTTTCAGAATAATATTATTCATTATATTTAAACAATATCCCTAATATAACATTTTCCATGCTGAAGAAATAAGTGTTCTCTTATACTGTCCCTGTGAATTTGTGACAAAATTGAAATATTTTATAGATAATTAATATATATATAATACATACTATAATTAATATAGTATATATACACATACTTATTATTGTATATATTGTATATTGTATGTATATACATATATATACACCTATATATATGTCTATATATTTATTTACTGAACAACTTTCACATTCTCTTGTTTTGTTCTCCAATTTTAATTTTCCAAATTTTAGTTTTCCTAATATTTTGACTTAAATTTTGAACACATAAGTTTAATTTAGCTAAATTTCCACATATCAAAGCATAAAACCTTGAACTTCTTGTATGTTCTAAATGGAATATGTGAGGGCCTCCCTGGTGGCGCAGTGGTTGAATGCTGGGTTGCGAGGCTGCCCGCAGCCTCTGCAGTGCCGGTTCAATCCCCGGCTGCTCCCCGACATCTGGAGGAGGGTCCCACATGTCGCGCAGACTCTCCTGCCGCCCGCTGCTCCCCTCAGCAGTGTACTTCGGTCCTTCTGCCTGCTCTGCTCCCCGCTCTGGCTCTGGTGAATTCTCTCACCCTCCCGCGCTTCTGACTGTACCCAGTGCTTGTATAAATAAATAAAATGTTTTTAAAAAATAAATAAATAAAAATAAAAGGAATATGTGAGAATATACACAACACTCTAGGATTTATAAAGAGGAAATGATAATGATTGTTTATAGATAATAAGTCAAGTCTAATGTTAATTTTGTTAATTATAAAGCTCATGATACAGTTTTTAAAAAGTGATTCTGGTTTTTGAGATTTCTGTATAACTTCATGATCCTGGTAAAATAGTAAACATTGCTTATTCTTTTCAGTGATTAAAAGAAAAGGAAATCTATTTTCTAGATTTTTGATGGTGTCTAGAAAAGGGTAGTTCTAAATAAAATGACATGTAAAGAGACATTATGTTTCTCAAATCTCTGGACATACTAGATTTTGAGTGAGGTGTAGAGTCTCCATAACCAGTGATCCAAATTTTTTCTATAACCAGTGATCCAAATTACTGGTACAGAGGGTACAGTTCTTATTTGCTTCTTCCTGAACCAAGAAAAAGGAAGGTTTTGAAGTTGTTTATCTGGCTGACAGTTTATGAGATAATTATGGGCCTGTGACCAATTTAGTTTTCTCATTTTTCCCAGGGAAAATCTAGCCACATAAGAGGCACAATTATTTTTGGACAAGCCTAGCTTCATCTCTCACTATGCGGTAACATTTAACATGTTCCGTCTCCCTCTTACTGGTGAGTGGGCACTTCCTATCTCCTGAACATTGAGGACTGTGAATGCTAAATCTCTGACCCTATTAATAGAGAACCCAGATGAGTGATTCCTTGACATCATGGGCAGGGACAATGTTACTTTCATACTCATTCATTCGCAAGTATACAAGATCTCTCTATTGTATCCTGGGTCTTAGTAAGTATCAAAGATTGTGGTGTTGTCTGTCACTAAAAGGTCAGCAGGCAGTTTCATGCATCAAGGCATACTATTTCATTCATCATGCATCAATGCATATTATCACTACCTATTTGCTTCAGGGTCCTCATGAAGTGAAGTTGCTCCATCTCCCTTCCACTCTGATTGTTTTTTACTCTTGTTTTGTGATACCAGTCTATACTTTTCCTTACCAGAGTCTGATATCAAATATCTTAATTCACATTTCAAAAAAGACAAAGTTCCATAGATATTTCATATATTTCTATCTTTCATATATGTCTGAGGGAACATAACATCTCAGAACATCCATTTGTGCAATGTGCAAAAAAGGAAATTGATACAACAGTCCATATATAATACTCTTAACATCATTTCATTGATCATAATTTCAAAATTTATTTCTATGAGTATTGTTCAATATAGAGTGGTAGGACTTTTAAGTATAAATAAATCCATGAGAAAGTGGCCCCAACTTGTCCAGTATTTGAAATTAGTGTGTGTAGTGCTTAGTACTCTACTTTGTGCCACAGCTTTCATTCCAGGGCCACAGGTGAATCATCAGCTTTACATTCTAGTGCAAATGTGAGTGCTCATAGAACTATATTCAGCATTCTGAATGGAATGCTTATTGTTGCTGCTTGGATGTCCCTTATTAGACTCTTCCTCATGGTAACTTTAAAGCAGCTCTAGATGTGGGCACAGTGGGTGTTTGCTCCTCTTCAAACTCACCTCCCAGGTATAGATTTCAAATGAAATTTCCAGAGACTAATGTGCTCCAGTTATTGGTAAACATAACTGATTTCTTCTCTTTATCTATGATGCAATTTATGGCATATCACCTGGCTGTTTTATAACACAGGTACATATATTCCTTTTTTTTAAAGATTTATTTGTTATTTATTTATACAAGCACTGGGTATAGTCAGAAGCATAGGAGGGTGAGAAAATTCACCAGAGCCAGGGCGGGGAGGAGAGCAGGCAGAGAGACCGAAGTACACTGCTAAGGGGAGCAGCGGGCGGCAGGAGAGGTCTGCGCGCCATGTGGGACTCTCCTCCGGTGGCTGGGGATGGAACCAACCGGCTCTGCAGAGGCTGTGGGCAGCTTCGCAACCCAGCGCTCAACCGCTGCGCAACCCAACCGGGGGAGGCCCTTTAGACAAAAGGCTTTATTATCTTTGCTAAAGCTTCCTTTTAACTCATCATATGAGAAAATTTCACTGTCATTTTAGGGAGAATTCCTAGATTCTGAGTTTAGTAAACATTTCTGAGATTCCCTCTCTGGTGTTTGGTATCCAAAGTGGGAAGAAGACATTTATATTTCTTTCTAGATAACAGAAAAGCAAAGAATATAGTCATGGAAAAAAATCTCTATCCCCTGGTGATAGGTGATGACCATTTTTCATGTGTCTGTTAGTTATCGATATGTCTTTTTTGAAGAAGTACCTATATAACTCTTCTGCCCATATTCATTGAGTTTTTTTTTTTTTTATTTTTGTTGAGTTGTATGTTTTCTTTGTAGCTCAAAAATAAAAGGAAGATCTCAAACATTTTCACTATGCTCATTTAGAAACCAGAACAAGAACAAACTAGTCCCAACATAAGTAGAAAAAAGCAAATAACTAAGATCAGAGAAATATTTAAGAAGGATACCAAAAAAAAAAAATTAGAAAAATCAGTGGAACTAAGGGCTTGTTCTTTGAGAAGATAAATAAAATTGATAAACCTTTAGCTACATCAAGGAAAAAGGAGAGAGAATAAATAAAATCAGAAATGAAAGAGGAGGTGTTACAACTGATTCAAAGGATCATAAGAGACTCCTATGAACTGAACAATTCTATACCACATATAATGCCAAATTGGTTAACTTACATTGTGGATAAATTCTTCAGAATGTAAACTACCCAGACTGAATCACAAATACTAGATCATTTGTGTCAAATAACTACTAGCATAACGATTGCATCAGTAACTAAAAACCTCCCAATAAAGTTCAGAACTAAATGATTTCACTAATAAATTCTATCAAACATTTCAAGAACAATTGATGCCAATTAAATAGTTATTAGTAATTGATGAAAATAAATAGCGCCAACCATTTAAAAAAATTGAAAGCAGGCAATACTGCCACATTAATTATATGAAATAATAATTACCCTGATGCCAAAACCAGGCCAAAGACACTACCAGAAAACTTCCAGGTAATATCTCTCATCAATACACATGCAAAACCTTGACAAGATATTAACAAACTAAATCCTGCAGCACCTTAAAATTATTATATAATAAAATCAAATGGAATCAATGCCAAGGAGTCATACAGCTCAAATACACAAATAAATAAGTGTGATGTTCATTAATATAATGAAAGGTAAAAATCACATGATTATCCCAATAGACACAGAAAACCAAACATTTGACAAAGTTGGCATATGCGCATGTTAAAATATCTCAATCAATTGGGTATAGAAATAATGTACCTCAGCAAAATAAAAGCCACATATGAAGAGTCCACAGTTAACATCATGCTCAGCAGGGAGTTTCAAAGATTTTCCACTAAGAACATGAACAACAAACTCACTCGCACATATCCTGTTCAAAATTGTATTGGAACTATTGCAGCAATTAAGTAGGAAGAAGAAAGCAATCCTATCACAAAGTAAAATTATGTCTTTTCATAGATAACTTTGTCTGATCTTTAGAAAACCTAAAGACATCACTGAAAACAATAGAACTAATCAAAATCATTGCAGTTGCGGGATAGAAAATCAACACAGAAATCAGTTGTGTCTCTATACACTGAGAGTGAAATGTCTGAAAGTGAAATTAAGAAAACAATCCTATTTGCAATCCCATTGAGAGCAATAAGATACTAAGGAATAAATTTATGGAATATATGAAAGAATTTTACACAGAAAATTAAATAAAATGATGATGAAAGAGATCACAAAGGTACAAAATAAATGGATCAAATGAATTAATACTGTGAAATGTCCATACCAGATACCTCCTATAAATTCAATTTGATAACTATCCAAATTCAACTGCAGTTTTTCAAAGACAGAAAATTATCTTAAAATTCATTTTGAACCCTTGGAGTCCCTGAATAGTGAAAAAAAAATCCTCAGAAATAAGACCAATATAGAAACATCCTGATTTCAAACAAGATACAAAACCATAGTAACTAAAACTATTATACTGGTATAAGAAAATGCACATAGGTAAGTGAAACAAAGACCAGAAATAAACCCATACATACATGGTCAAGAATATATTGAGAAAAGCCAAAAATGTACAATGGAGAAATTAGTCTTCAAAAATGAGTGAAAAACAGATAGACACTTGCAAAAGAATGAGGTTGAACAACTGTCTTACATCATACACAAAAAGCCACTCAAGATCAGTTAAAGACCTGAATGTAGGACCCAAAAACAAAACCGTAGTTGAAAATGACTCCTTATCATTGATCGTGACAATATTTTTTTTTTTTGTATTTAACACTAAAAGCAAAAATAAGCAAGTGAAACTATATCAAACTAAAAGGCATAGCAAAGGAATTCATCAACACAATAAAAATACAGGGGGCCTCCCTGGTGGCACAAGGGGTAAGATGCAAACTATGAAGCTGTTCACAGCCACTGCAGCAGGAGTTCAATCCCTAGCCAGGGAGCTACCCACATGGCACAGGAGACCTCTCCTGACTTGCCCGCTGCTCCCCTCAGCAGTGTATTTCAGTCAATCTGCCTGTTCTGTTTCCTGCTCTATTCCTGGTGAATCCTCTCACCGCCCTCTACCTCTGGCCTGTACCCCAATTCTCATATGCACAAATAAATCTTTAAAAAAATTCCAACCTATGGAAGAGGAGAAAATACTTGCAAACCACATATATAATATGTTAATATAAATAATATTAGATAAATATAAAATATTAGATAAAATTATTGCAACTCAATACCATGAAAACGAATATCCCAATTAAAAATCAACAAGAGAACAATAGAAACTTTTCCCAACAAGTCATACAAATGGCCCAACAAATACATGAAAATGTGCTCAACATTACCAATAATCTGTTCAGTACTTTTGTGGATGTTCTTGTCATCAGTTAAGATAAAATAACTCTTTTCATCATTTCTTATAGGGAAGTTCCTTCAACTTCTGTTTGAGAATGCTTTTATTTCTTATATCTGAAAGACAGTCTTGTAGATCTGAGAGTCTTTTAGTAGATCGTATACTTTTTTAAAAAAAGATTTATTTATGCACACAAGAATTGGGGTACAGGCCAGAGGTGCGGGGGATGAGAGGATACACCAGAGATATAATGGGGAACAGAACAGGCAAACTGACTGAAATACAGTGCTGAGGGGAGCTGCAGGTGAGACGGGAGAGGTCTGCTGCGCCATGTCGGTAGCTCCCTGGTCAGGCAGGGATATATTTCCTGTTGCAGAGGCTGCAGATAGCCTCCCTTGTGCCACCAGGGAGGCCCTATAGTATTCTTGGCTGGCAGTTTTTATCTTTAAATATTTGGAATAAATCATTGTATTCTTTCCTTGCATTTAGTGTTTCCTCAGAGAATTCAGTTGCACGTTTGATGGAAGAAACTTTATAGGCTATCTACTTCTCCCCACTGCCAACTTCAGTATTCTTGCCTTGTCTTGAACTCTTATAAGTTTTATATCTTATAAGATGTCATTACATTTAGGTAACCAGGTACTCTTTTAGCTTCATCAGTTTGTGTATTTCCTTCTCCAGGATTGGGATGTTTTCTTCCAGTATGTCTGAATAATTTACCTGTTCTTTCTCATTCCCTTCTGGAATAACCACTACCCTTATATTGTCTTTCCTCATGGAGTGAGGTAATACTAGAAGTGTTTCTTCATTTTTTTCTCCTCATATTGCTTTCGTCTTCCATCTGGGTGCTTTGTTCATTGCCAGATTCAAGGCCACAGATTAGATTTACCTATTCTAATGTACTTCCATAGATTTCCTCAAAAATTTTCCTCTCTTCTATTGATCCTGTCACATTATGCCTCTCTGTTATTTTCTTATTTAAAACTTCAATTTCCAGGCCTCCCTGGTGGTGCAAGGGGTTAAGACACAACCTATGAAGCTATCCACAGCCACTGCAGCCAGGGAGCAACCCACATGGTGCAGCAAACCTCCCCTGACTCACCCACTGCTCCCCTCAGCCTCTGCGGCACGAGTTCAATCTCCCAGCTGGCCAGAGAGTTACCCACATGGTGCAGCAGACCTCTCCTGTCTTGTCCGCTGCTCCCCTCAGCAGTGTATTTCAGTCAGTCTGACTGTTCTGTCTCCCACTCTGTCTCTGGTGAATCCTCTCACCCCCCCACACATACCTCTGGCCTGTACCCCAGTTCTTGTATGAATAAATAAATCTTTAAAAAAAATCTTAAATTTCCACATTCTGTTTATCAGTTTTATTTCTCAGGACATCCATTTGTTTTTTCTAAATTTTCTTAAATGCATTTGATCTCTCCTTGTATTCTACCATTTCTTTGTGTGTATTTTGATTTTCTTGAAAGAAAATATTGCCCAAATTGTTGTGGTCGGATTCTGGTGATTTATTCTCTTTCTGTTGTAGAAAATGTTCTTAAGGCCTCAAGGTACCAAGTGTATTTTTCTGCCTGCCCATTTAGGTCCTTATGGTGCAGAAATTCCACTTCCCAGCAGATGGCACTATAGAATTTGTTTTTGTTTTTTTGGTTTTTTGGTTTTTTGTTTTTTTTTTTTTTTTTTTCCCAGCTTTTAAGTTTTAAAGCTTAACCTGGTTTGGCTTTTCAGTAAATTGCATGACACTGTATGTTGGCGAGAACTGAGGTACAGCTGCTGAGTCCAGGTACGGAGGGGCCTTGAACAGTCCAGTAAATGGTGAAAGTGGTACTGAATGACAGCTTGTGTTTGTGTGCACCATTGTTAGCCTGGATTTCAAGACAAATGTCTCTACAATCTGTGGGCTGAGTTTTCAGCTACTACTTCAAAGGATGCGCTCAAATCTCAAGAGCTTGGTGGAAAGGGAGCAATGTTCTGCACCTTGTCCTCTTAAGTCAGGACCTTGCACACTTGACTAACCCTAGAACCTCCACGCTACCTCTTCAATCAAGGATATGCCTCTAATCAGTTCTCCCCTCTCCTGGCCACCAGCCAAACACAGGAACACCAGTTTGCAATTTCCGCCCCAGCCACAGTCTCTAGGTGCTTCTCTCAACACACCTTTAATAATAAAGGATTGACTTTCCTCAGTGTCTCTCCTGTCACCATCAGTATTGATCTCCAGGATATGCTCTAGTTCTGCTCCAAGTGACAGGATCCTCTGGGTCTAGTGCCTCCCTGCACTTCTTTAGATTATCCTCCCAGAAGTGAAACAAGGAATCTTCTCTGATGTCATCCTCCCAATGTTTAACAGCTTACCCTCAGTTTATTGAACTGGTACAGTAAGTACTCACTTAATATTTTCAACATTCGATGTATATCATAACAAATTTTACTGTAGACTAATTGCTATAAACAAAATTTAATTTTCTGTAGCATGTCTCTGGTCATAAAAACATCACCAAATTTCCAAAGACTTCAAATGTTTAAGAATAACTTTTATTAATTCATTCATCTATTCATTCATTCATTTTTCTACCTACTTATTCCAGTTTGGATCATGGTTCTCTAGAGTCTATCCTAGCAGTTCAAGATCAAGAGAGGATGCAACCCTGGAAGGGTTTGACAGCAGGGTACTTATATTCTCACCCACAGTTACTCAGACGGGGACAATTTATGTGAGCCAGTTTACCTATTATGTGCATCTTTTGAAGTAGGAGGAAAGCAGGATACCCCCAATGAAATGATGCAGGCAAAGGAGAGAACGTGCAAACACCACTCAAACAGTGGTCCGGGAGAAAATCACTTTTTCTTATCAAAATGAACCTGATATATTAACTTGGAATTTCTGTTATTCCTGAGTCTCCATTTGGTTTTAGTTAAATTGTATTCTTCATAATTATTTCAGTAGCAAATGATACAATATGGATGAAGAAAAATTAAATCTGAAGTTGATTCCTGTCTCTAACCAGGCTAATGTCTTTTTATAATGTTAGATTTTAAAAATAAAGGAAGTCTCTTCGATCTGTCACACTCTCAAGCATTTATAAAAACTGGATTATGGAATTTTCTAGTCTCCAACCCACAATACAGTGGATGCAAACACCAGAACCAACACCCAGTTGTCCACCTGGATTAGAATATTTGTCTCAAGTATGGTAATATATTTCTTGAATTTCTTAGTAACAGATTGAGATACCAGTAGCATTAATATTTTTACATTTTATTCTAATTAGTATTTTATTTTTACTGAAGTAGTGATTTTACATTTTAAATATTGTAATGTTATTTATAAATTTATATTCAAGGAAAACCATTAAAAATAAATGTATATTTTTTCAAAATAGCAAATTGAATTTTAAGGATATTAGTAAAAATTTACTTCAGCAATCAGTTTATCTAACTACTTAGGTTTTAGGAGCCTGACATGCACATATAAAATGTAGTCACTAATATTAAGAAAATGTCTCTGGTTCACTATGAGATTTAATGACATTTAGTGACTTTTTTATCCTATTAGTTCTGATTTGGTTTCTGTAATGCTGACTCTAAATATTTAACTTTGACATTTAACATGATTAATTATTGCCCACATCTTACTTTTCAAATTATTTAAAAGCAAAAAAAAAAAAAATTACTTCTTGGAAAGGTTGCTTACACTTTCAATGCTAAATTTTAATCATGCCATGAGCAATGATATCTAACAAGACATTTTTAATGTGTATAAAAACACATTAAAATTAAAATTTTCCTTTCAAATACAGTATATTCAATCTGAATTTCAAATTTTTTAATAAAATCTTTTAAAAATATTTTGTGATCCCAAATATTGAACATATTAAAGATAGAGCAAAGAGAGTCCACTTTATAGACTTATGATAAATTTTGCATTTCATTTATGTATGGGAAAAAAAGTTAAAATTTCATACTGAGACTAATGTAACATATAAGACACTTGACCAAAAAAAATGAGATTTTAATAATGGATTAATTGTATAAAATCCCTAAATGTAACTACTAATGTAGTATGTACTACATTTGACTATATCATAACAGCTATCTATTTTCTGTTCTAATAGATAAATGAGTTACTAGTGCATCAACGTTTTGATCTTTTGAAAGGTAAGTAATAAATACTGGTATATTCATTCTTGAATATGTAAGTTGTTCTCTTAGTTTGGACAACCCCAGTAAATTAAACTATTTCTAATATTTGAGAAAACAAAATCTTGTAATATGCACAGAATAAATAGAAGGACCTTAGTCAATAAGAAGGTGAATGCAATTGTAGTCTTCTCAAGGGAAAAGAGAAAAATATTGGCTCCAAATCAAAAATCCTTCTCTCCACTTTTCATCTTTCTAAACAGTGTATCTATTTTCTTAAAAGACTTTTCCCTCCTGAGTCCCTAAAATATGGATATTTTGGAGAAACACTAGTTTCAGAGTCTTCAGGAATTCTGCTAAAGGATGTAGAATGCAGGTCAGTTTCTGGGCAGCTCAATTCCATTCCCAGGTCTGAGAAATTAAATTGTCCCTTCAAAAGTAGTCATTTAACTGTAGCTCCTCAAGTATTTCTTTTCATGTAGATAAAGTATTAATAAATGTAAGTAAAATGAAATGTTTATTTAAAAATATATATTTACCAATGATGACCTTTCTTCTTTTCTAGTATACATCAGACAATCTAAAACTAAAATAGGCACTTATGGTTTTATTTAATTCATAAAAGTTCTCAAACATTGGTTCATTATAAAATAATAATTTTTTTGTACTTTTCTTATTGCCTGATGAATCAGAGTTTTTTGGAAGCAGGCCTGGAATCTAAAGGTGGACTCTTTCTCCATTCTTGTCTTGTCAAGAAAGAATTCAATATCAAAACCAAAGTTAGAGAAAAGCAAGAGATTTGTTGATTGGTAGGTAGGAAGAACAGGAAAGCTCTCTGAGCAGAGAGAGGCCTTGAGTGTATAGCCACTGAGGTGGTGAGAAGTAGGAGCTTATCTAGGTACAGTGGGCAAGGAGTGGGATTAGGCCATTGGGTATCTCTGAGTTTGTCTCTTGTTCATTGGCTTCTGCCTGAAAGTGTCTCCTGCTGAGTTTTCCATGTTACCCAGCCTACTTTTCTGAAACCAGCTTTGGTCTGTTGCTACTGTGCTATTACATTAGTATTCTGAACACTCCATTTTTAATTGAATTGGTGGGGGGCATTCTTCAGATATGTGATTGTTTCTCAATCAGGCTGATAAATGGATTTGGGGCTTGGGGTACCCTGTTTCTAACTGGTTGCCTATGCCCATTTCGTAACTTCCTCTTTCATTCCCCACTTCAGAGTAATAACTCTAACTGCCATTAGGGAAAATAAGTGAAGACCGAACCTGGCTACTTCCTACTGATTGGAGGCAAAGGAAACGGCAATCAGGGATCACGCACGGATGAGGGTGGAGGGTGGTCTTCCCAGGGGGCCTCAGTAGAAATCAGTGAGAATGGTCACAGGTGGATCTGTTTGGACCATGATCTGGAGCTTGGCCACTTTCAACTGGAAGAAATAAATTTGCCAATGAGATTTAAGAGGCATGGCTGAAAATGAGAAGCAGTAGAATTGCAAGCAAGCGTCACAAGAGAAGAAGGAATCAGTAATGGGAGGAGGATCCACCCCTTGATCTCGTGCTAGATTTGGACGGCAAATGTTTCCTTAAAGGTTGTGGAGCCACAAAGCCTTGACATACAGGGAATTGATGGTCTCCTCCACCTGTGAACTAGACTTGATGAAGGTACAAGTTTTATTAAAAACAACACAGAGCTCACCATGCTTCCCAAGAAGGTTACAGGGCAGTGAAAGAGTTGGGTTAGAACAGTGTGACAGAAAAGAGTAGCTTTAATGAGAAAGCACATGGGGGTAGTCCAGAGTGGTCTCACCTGGACATCTGCCAAACAGGAGTCTCAAATCCTCAAGAGGCTCACAGCTGTTCTGGGAAAGAGGGGCAACAGCTTGCTATGAAGCAGGCGCTGGTTCCCAGACCTTTACACATGAATGATGAATAATCTAGGACTCCTGGATTTCCACATTTACAGCACTAGCATTGGCAAGGATTACTGTGTAGGGTCCCTCCCACAAAGCCTCCTTCACTTAGACTAAATGCTTTATTTTTTGAAAGATCATTTCTGCCATAACTATTGTTGAGTACCTACAATGAACAAGGCATGTGCTAGTTATTAAAAAAAAAAATCGAAGTGGAGTCCGAATTGTACTTACACTGCAGGATTTGCCCTAAAATACGAGGGTAAATATTCTTCAATACTATACACAATATGAAATCACAAAAATCATAAGAGAGGTAAAGAATCAACCAAAGTAATTGAGTTTAAGGATAGAAACAGCCAGTTTCTTGTATTTTAATTAATCACTAAAATACAAAAATATTGAGAAAAATTTAGCCATCCATTTAATTGGAAACCAGATTTCTGAATTTGTGATTCTCAAAGAATGAATGCTGGACCATCAGCATCAACATCATCTAGGAACATGTTAAAAATCATATCCCCAAGCTTCATCAGAGATCCACTAAATCACAAAACCCAGAGGTGAGTCTCAACAGTCTATGTTTAATCAAACCTTTCAGATGGTACTGATGTGGGCTAAAATTTGAGAACTACTGCTTTAAACCATATAATTATATAATTTAACACTGCGGTGATTTAAAAGAATGTGACAACTGTGCAAAATTTTTAGGAATATCTCCAAAGTATATTACTTATTATAAAAAGAAATTACAAATAGTGCATATAGTAATGTGTGTTTGTAAAATACATTAAGGCTTTGCATATGTTAGAGATAGCTCTAGAAGCATGCATATGATTTTGAAGAAGAAATAGAATAAACCTAGAACATATAGTTTCAGTTTTATATTTTTGTGTTGTTAAAATATTGAATCCTTACTAGTGAAAGAAATCTAATGTATGATGTATGTATGTATGTATGTATGTATGTATTTTCAATTGAGGTAATAATTGTATACCTCCCATTAGGTATTGCCACTGAATGCGCCTACCACAAGACTGCCCAAAGTCTACCACCATAGTCCATTGCACATCCTTCCCTCTTTTGTTGTTTCCACTTATTCACCATCTACCCCCTTTGGATACTTCAGTTCTGTTTTAGTTTTAAAACTTGTCTTTATCTGTTATGCTAGGTATGCTAGTGATACCATCTGTTATACTTATGCTAGGTATGCTAGTGATACCATCTGTTATACTTGTCTTTACCTAGTTATGCTAGGTATGCTAGTGATACCATCCAGGGTTTATCTTTCTCTTTCTGGTTCATTCATCTATTTTGGAGCACTTACATTGTTTCCATAAATTGGGCATAGTAAATAGCACTGCAAAAAAAGGGTATGGAAGTTTATTTTCAAATTACCTTTTTTGATTTTTTTCAGATAGATGCCTAGAAAGTGGAATTATTGGGCTATATAACAGATCCATTTTTATTGTTTTGAGACCCCCCCACCCATACTGCTTTCGACAAGGGCAAGACCAGTCTGCATTCCCACCAGCAGGCAGTGGTCGAAGAAAACTCTCTTCAAATATGATGTTAAGAAAACCATACAGTCACATGCAAAACAATGAAACTAGACCACTGTCTAATACCATACACAAAAATGAATTAGAAAATGAATCAGAAAATTCAATGTGAGACTTGAAATCATAAAATACATAAAAGAAAATATAGGCAATACATTCCTTGACATTGGTCTTACAGACATCTTAAGTCTCAAATTCAAAGACAAGGCAAGCAAAAGCAAAAACAAACAAATGAGTCTTCATCAAACTACAAACCTGCTCATTGAAAGAGACTAACATCAAAATAAAAAGACTTCCTACAGAATGCAAGAATATATTTGCACGTCATATGCTCAACTCATAAAACTCAACAACAAAAAATATTATCTGGTGGGCCTCCCCGGTGGCACAGCGGGGTAAGTGCAGCTCTGTGAAACTGTCTGCAGCCTCTGCAGTGTCGGTTCGAATCCCAGTCGGCCAGGGAGATAGCCACATGGCATAGCAGGCCTCTCCTGTCTACCCCGCTGCTCCCCTCAGCAGTAAGTTTTCGTTCTGTCTGCCTGTTCTGCTCCCTGCTCTGTCTCTGGTGAGTTCTTTCACCCTCCCGCACCTCTGGCCTGTACCCCAGTTCTTGTATAAATAAATAAATAAATGAATGAATGAATGAATGAATAAATAAATAAATAAATGAATATTTTAAAAAATATATTATCTGGTGAAAATAAGTGGAGATTCTTCTCCATAGATAATATTCAATGGCCAGTAGACACAAGAAAAGATGCTTATTGCATCTAATTATTAAGGAAATGCAAATAAAAATGATAGCTAGGTATCACCTCACACCTGTAACAATGGCTGTTCTTCACAAGATGTGTGTTGGAGATAATGTGGAGAGAAGGGAACACTTGCACACTATTGGTAGAAATGTAAATTTGTATAGTCATTATAGAAAGCAATAGGGAGATTCCTTAAAAAATTAAAAAATAGTCCCCTGTGCTCCTGCCTCCCTCCCTCTGATCCCTCTTCCTCTTCCTCCTCTGCAGGATGTCTCTGATTTAAAATTATCTGTTTTTGTTTTTCTGTGTTTTGTATTACTATTTTTTTACATTGATGTTTTATTTGGTTGCCCTATTTTCCTTCTATAAGTGAAACCATCTGATATTTTTATTTTTCCTTCTGACTTATTTTACTAAGCATAATTCCTTCTAGCTCCATCCATGTTGCTGCAAATGGCATGAGTTTATCTTTTTTGATATATTCCCTTGTGTATATATGCCACATCTTCTTGACTATGGTGATGGTGCACAGGTGCTTTGGTGAAGGAAATTCAATGGAGACTACACGTGGGGAAGAGGGGGAACAAATACTGTTTAAAAATGAGCAATGATGTAAAAAATAAATAAAAAGAAAGAAAACTATTTCAAATTAAAAAATTAAACAATAAAAATTCCGTATGAGCCAGTTATCTTGTTTCTGGTTATTTATCCAAAGAATACAAAAACTCTAATTTGAAAAGATTTATGAATTCCCATATTTAGAGCTGCATTGTTTATAATAGCCAAGACCTATAAATAGTCTAAATGGCCAGCACAGATTTGGATTCAAAAAAATAGAATACTACTGAACTATTTAGAGAAAGAGAGAGAGAGAGAAACCCTACCATTTGCAAAATGGATGGACCTAAAGGCAATTATGCTTAGTGAAATAAATGAGACATTTACAATTAAAACAAAAAAAAAAATCAAATACCTTGAAATAAACCTAACAAAGGAGGTAAGTGACCTATACAAAGAAATATAGAAAAATCAAAGAACTAATGAACTAAACAAAATAAAAATTTAACTTTTAGACTGTAAGTAGTAATTAGTGGTTACCTAAAAGGAAAGGGAATCGTGGGTGGGCAACATGGGTGAGAGGGGTCTATACCATGAAGGATAGGGTTGGACTTATAGTGGTGTTCTTAATAAAGTATCTTCAGATGTTGATTTATAATGATGCACACCTAAAACTTTTGTTATAGTGCAATATTACTTCAATACATTTTTTAAATAAAAGTTGTTCAGAAAATATTTTCATAGATTTTGAATCATTGTATTTGAATATTAACTGAAAATGAATGTATTTCAAATATTTTGTTCAACATGAAAAGTTATGTTCATGTATCCATTAAATCATTAAAAAGTGAGGAAATTCTGTAACTACCTGTTTCAAAGGTTAACATTAACTCAAATGATAAATGTTCATTAGAGTAGCATTTATTCATTAAACATATACTCAATCTGGAACATTTGAGATTAAGAAAACTGAAAGAAAAAAAAACTTTCACAACTCTGATGAAATTTCCTTTGATGGCTTTAAAAATATATTTCCTTGGTGGGCTTTTTGAAAATCACTTCTAATCATACTCCATGCTTTTTAAAAATAACTATTCACAAAGTAGCTTTCTGATGGTGTTACTTTATTTGTTTTAGCACTCAACTTTTTAAATAACTACACAGTAATCCTCTAGAAAGGGTACTACTTATTGTCTCTTGGATATTCATTTTGTTTCCATTTTATTTTTTCTTGTCAAAATATTATGGTAATGAGTATTTGGTATATAGAAAGCACTTTTTTAACATTATAATTATTTTGTTTGCATGATTACAGAAGCAAATTACTAGAGTGAAAGTAATATTTATGTGTGCTTGTTAGAAAGGTGAATTTTATTATTAATTTATGTGGATAATATATGAGCTTTTTATATCTCACTCAATTTAGCTCACTTAATTTTGTTTTGTTTTGTTTTCTGCTATCTAAAATGGAGGCCAAATGAGGTATTTTTCAGGAAGGAAAATAGAAAAAGGATTAAAATTAATATAACTCAAAATATAATAGTAAGTGGCTACTTTCTTGGAAATTTAAAAGTTATATTAAAAATCTATGCATGTGATTTTTGAAGCAAAAGGAAGCAGAACATAGCTAGCACGTCTCTTTATTTTTCTATATGGGGAGAAACTAAGATAACAGTGAAAATAAGTAAGAAACCTAACCAGCTTATTACCCACCAATGTCCCATATTTGAGCAAAATTTGATATTCAGAGTCTCATGTTACTATTACTAGTAAATCATCACATTGTTTCATTCTTTAGACCTCAGTTATTTTGAAAATAATAAAATATATGAAGTCATGAACAATCAAAGACAGAGAATTTATTTTGCAGAAGAGAAATGTAATTGCTTCCTCAGACAATTTTGTGGATCTTCAAGGCCTTTTACCATGACGATTTATGATGCCACAGGCCGAGATGTCATTACGATGCATAAAGCTTTCAGTTGTGGTTGTTGTTGGAATAACTACTTCCTACAAAAGGTCGGTAAATATTGTCAGAATCTGATTTAGAATAAGTTTGAGTTGCTTCAAGATACTTCAACACTGAGTGATTTCTTGAAATTTTAAAACTGGTTTGATTACAAAGAATTGTCCAGAATGAACTATGTCAGATTGCTTCTCGGCCTTTTGGCTCAGATCAAGTGCAGAGTGAACTATGTCAGAGTACCACATACCTACAGTGTGAAATCATGCAACAAAACTATAAATTTTTTTCAGATAATGAAGATCTGTAGAACTTTAGAAATATCCTATTCTAAAAGGTAATAGATATTTTCATTTTCATTTTCTGATTTTAATGAAAAATTCTATTTTATCACTGATATATAGAAAAACAATTGATCCTTGTATATTGAACACATTTTGACTTTGTCAAATTAACTTATGAATAACTTCTGGTTTCTAGTAGTTTCTTGCAGTCTTAAAGTTTTCTACAATAGTATGAAAACAATAAAGCTTCATCCCCTTCTTTGTTATCTGTATTCTTTTTATTTATATTCATAAGTATGAATGTAGTATTTATTCATTGTCATTTTGTTCTGGTTATGAGTTTTAACATATTCTTGAATAGAAATTAGGAGACAGAAGATCATTGACTTTTGCTCTGATTTTGGAAGAAAGGATTCAATCTTTACCATTAGGTGTGAAGTTATTTGAAGTATTGTTGTTGTCTTTTTTAAAATACCCTTTACCGTTTCAACAAATATCCATCTATTATAATTTTCTGAGTTTTATATCATGAATAATTTTGAATTTTGTCAAATATTTTCTATACCTTTTCGCGTGATGATATGACTGTCTTTATGACTGTCTTTTATAATCTGAAAATGTTATATTTGCATCAACTTTTTTATTTTTTATTTTATTTATTTTTAATTGAAGTAGTATTTTTAATTGAAGTAGTATCACATATTACCACCCTAGTGCACCCACCACAAAATCACCCATAGTCTACCACAACAGTCGGTTGAATTAACTTCCCCCTCCTCCCCCATTCCTTCCTCCTCTCTATGTTTCAGTTCTGTAGTCAGCTATCAAGTGTTAATTTTTAAGCTTGTCTTTATCTGACTCTTAGTTGGTTTTATTTCAGTTTTTTTTAAAGATTTATTTATTTATTTATACAAGCACTGGAAACAGTCAGAATTGCTGGAGGGTGAGAGAATTCACCAGAGCCAGAGCGGAGAACAGAACAGGAAGACCGACGAAATACACTGCTGAGGGGAGCAGCGGGCGCAGCAGGAGAGGTCTGTCGTGCCATGTGGGACCCTCGCCGGGGGCCCGGGGATCGAACTGGTGCTGCAGAGCCTGTGGGCAGCTTCTCAGCCCAGCACTCAACCGCTGCGCCACCAGGGGAGGCCTGACTCTTAGTTTGGTTGCTTTTTATTCTACCTTAGTGACACTCTCAGGTATTTAACTTTCTCGTTCTGCTCACTGCATTTGAACTATCTCTTTAATTTCCATCCACATTATAACAAATGAAAAGAGTGTAACTTTTTTGGTTAGTGACTAGTATTCTATTTGGTATATATACATATATATACATATATACATATATATACACACACGTATATATATATATATATATATATATATACATATATATGTGTGTGTATGCACGTGCGTGTATGTGTGTGTATCTATCTCCCATTCAGCAGAGTGTCATCATTTTTGTTATGGTCCCCTTCACTGTGTAGAAGCTTTAAGTTTCATGTAGTTCCAGTTGTTTATGTTCTACACACACACACACACACACACACATACTACACCTTCTTGTTCTTGAGCCACTCATTTGTTCTGGGCATTTAGGTTGTTTCATTGCTTAGCTATAGTAAATAATACTGCAATAAAAATAGGGATGCAGATTTCCTTTTGAATAAGTGTTCTTGAATTTTGGGAGTAGATGCCCAAAATTGGAATTACTGGGTTGTATGGCACATGCATTTCTTTAATGTTTTGAGACACTTCCATAGTAATGTTTGAGACACTTCCATAAGGGTGAGACCAGTCTGCATCCCCACGAGTATTGCAGGAGGGCCCCCTTTACTCCACATCCTTGCCAACATTTGTTTTTTCTGTTCTTTTTGATATGGACCATTTCACAGGTATGAATGAGATAGCATCTCATTGTGGACTTGATTTCCATTTCCCTAATGATAAGTGACAGTGAACAGATTTTCTTGTGCCTGTTTTCAGTCTCTGTGTCTTCTCTGGGGAAGTGTCTGTTTAATTCTGCCCATTTTTTGATTGGGTTATATGTTTTGTTGTTGTAGAGTTTTATGGTTTATTTTGTATCTTTGATATCAGTTCTTTGTCAGATGTATGATACACAAATATTTTCTCCCATTCAGTAGAGTATCTTCATTTTTGTTATGGTCTTCTTCACTGTGTAGAAGCTTTTAAGTTTGATGTGGTTCCAGTTGTTTAAGTTCTTTTTCCTTGTCTTTATTATTAGGGAAAATTTTCAAAAGCCATCTCTAAAGTATATGTCATGAAATGTTTTGCCTGTGTTTTCTTCTAAGTGTTTTATGGTTTCAGATTTCACATCCAAGTCTTTTATCCATTTTGAATTGATTTCAGTTTGTAGTGTGAGAAAAAAATCTAGTTCTTATGTTTTTAAAAATCTAGTTTAATGTTTTTAAATGCAGTTGTTCAGTTTTCCTCACACCCTTTATTGAAGAAACTATCCTTATTCCAGTCTTGGCTGCTTTGTCATAAATTCACTGTCCATATATTTGTAGATTTTTTTCTGAGTTCTCAATTATATTCCATTGGTCTGTGTGTCTGTTTTTGTTTACCACCATACTGTTTTAATTATCATGGCTTTATAATAAGATTTGAGGTCTAGAAGTGTTATACCTCCAGTCTCTTTCTTTTTTGTCAAGATTGCTTTTGCTATTCAGAGTTTTTTGTGATTCCACATGAATTTCAGTAGTGTTTGTCCCAGTTCTTTGAAAAATGATGTTGATATTCTTATTGGTATTGCATTGAATCTGTATATTGCTTTACATAGGATGGCCACTTTGACAATGTTTATTCTCCCAGTCCATAAGCAGGGCATTTTCCATTTCCTTATATTTCTTCTATGTCTTTAAAGATTGTCTCTCAGGTTTTTATAGAATTCTTTTACCTCCTTTGTTAGGAGTATTTATTTGTTTATTTTTTGGTATAATTGTAAATGGCATCACTTTCTTAATTTCTTGCACTTCTATCTCATTGTATATACGAAGCCAAATAATTTATGTTGTTGATTTTATTCTCTGTCACTTTGCTAAACTGATTGTTTCAATTAGTTTGTGCATATAATATTGAGGGTTCTCTAATGATAATATGCTATCTACAAATAATGATAGTTCTACTTCTTCTTTCCCAATTTGGATTCCTTTTATGTCTTTCTCTTGTCAAATTACTCTAGCTAGGAATTCTAATACTGTGTTGAATAGTAGTGGTGAGAGTGGGTATCCTTCGCTTGTTTTAAATCTTAGTGGAGAAACTTTCAGTTATTCACCATTGAGAATGATATTAGCTGTGGATTTGTTGTAAATGTTTTTGTATATTAAAAAACTGGGATTATGCCCAGTTTTTTGAGGCTTTTCATCAAAAACAGATTTGGACATTATCAAATGCTTTCTCAGCATCCATTTATATTATCATATGGTTCTTATTATTTTTTTTGTTGATGTGGTAATTATATTGATTGATTTTTTTTTTTTTTTAAATATTAAATTTTATTTTTATATTCCCCCATACAATTGCAAATGCCCCATTCTGACCCCAATCCTTCCCCTCCCGCCCCCCACCCCCCAAAAAGTGTCTCTGGTTCATAGTTTTTTGTTGATTTTGATTTTCACTTTCTTATATTCATTTTCCTGGTCCCTTATTTAAGTTTTCTAGATTCCTGCTATCAGTGAGACCATCCGGTATTTTTCTTTTTCTTTTTGGCTTATTTCGCTGAGCATGATCCCTTCCAGCGCCATCCATGTTGCTGCAAATTGCATGTGTTTATCTTTTTTGAATGCTGAGTAATATTCCATGGTATATATGTACCACATCTTCTTGATCCAGTCATCTATTTTTGGGCATTTGGGTTGTTTCCAAAGCTTAGCTATTGTAAACAGTGCTGCTATAAACATAGGAGTGCAGGTGCTCTTTGGAATTGATGTTTCTGTGTCCTTTGGGTAAATACCTAGGAGTGGAATTGCTGGATCATATGGAAGCTCTATGTTTAGTAGGTCCAGAAATCTCCACACAGCTCTCCATAGTGGTTGGACCACTTTGCACTCCCACCAACAGTGCACAAGAGTTCCTTTTTCTCCACATCCTCGCCAACATTTGTTGTTGCTAGTTTTTTTAATATGTGCCATTCTCACTGGTGTGAGATGGTATCTCATGGTAGTTTTGATTTGCATTTCCCTGATTACAAGTGATGTTGAACATTTTTTCATATGTCTGTTGGCCATTTGCATTTCCTCTTCAGAGAAGTTTCTTTTTAGCTCTTCTGCCCATTTTTTGACTGGATTATTTTCTTTGTTGTTGCTGAGTCTCATCAGCTCTTTGCAGATTTTTGTGATCAGTCCTTTATCATTAGTGTTGGGTGCAAAAATGTTCTCCAGTTGGTGGGGTTTCTCTTTGTTTTTGTTATTGTCTCTTTTGCTGTGCAGAAGCTCTTTAATTTGATGTAGTCCCAGCTGTTTATCTTTGTCTTCACTATCACTGCTTTGGGTGATGTGTCTGTAAAGATGTCTTTGATGTGCAAATCCCGTAGTGTTTCGCCTATATTTCCTTCTATGTATTTTATGGTTTCAGGTCTTATGTCTAGTTCTTTAATCCATTTTGAGTTGATTTTTGTGTATGGTGTGAGGTAGTGGTCAAGCTTCATTCTTTTGCATGTAGCGACCCAGTTTTCCCAGCACCATTTATTGAACAAACTTTCTTTGCTCCAATGCATAGTCTTTGCTCCTTTGTCAAAGATTAGTTGACCATAA